TCGACCAACAAGCGCGCGCTGCGTCGGCTTCGCACGGCCTGCGAGCGGGCCAAGCGCACGCTCTCGTCGTCCTCGCAGGCGTCCATCGAGATTGACAGCCTGATGGAGGGCATCGACTTCTATACGTCCATCACCCGCGCCAGGTTCGAGGAGATGAACGCCGACTTGTTCCGCGGCACACTGGAGCCGGTGGAGAAGTCGCTGCGCGACGCTAAGATGGACAAGGGCTCCATCCACGACATCGTGCTGGTCGGCGGCTCGACTCGCATCCCTAAGATCCAGAAGCTGCTGCAGGACTTCTTCAATGGTAAGGAGCTCAACAAGTCCATCAACCCGGACGAGGCGGTGGCGTACGGCGCAGCTGTGCAGGCGGCTATCCTGCACGGTGACAAGTCGGAGGAGGTGCAGGACCTGCTGCTGCTCGACGTGACGCCCCTGTCGCTTGGAATTGAGACGGCCGGCGGCGTGATGACCGCGCTCATCAAGCGCAACACAACGATCCCGACTAAGCAGACGCAGACGTTCACCACCTACTCGGACAACCAGCCAGGCGTGCTGATCCAGGTGTACGAGGGCGAGCGCGCCATGACCAAGGACAACAATCTGCTCGGCAAGTTCGAGCTGACCGGCATCCCGCCGGCGCCGCGCGGCGTGCCCCAGATCGAGGTCACCTTCGACATCGACGCCAACGGCATCATGAACGTCTCGGCCGCCGACAAGTCAACCGGCAAGGCCAGCAACATCACAATCACCAACGACAAGGGCCGCCTCACCAAGGAGGAGATTGAGCGCATGGTGAACGAGGCTGAGTCCTTCAAGCAGGAGGACGATGCACAGCGCGAGAAGATCGCCGCCAAGAACGCGCTTGAGTCGTACTGCTTCAACATGAAGTCGACGGTCGAGGATGACAAGGTCAAAGACAAGATTTCGGACGCCGACAAGACGGCGATCGTCGACAAGTGCAACGACACCATCAAGTGGCTGGACGCCAACCAGCTGGCGGAGAAGGATGAATTTGAGCACAAGCAGAAGGAACTGGAGCAGATTTGCAACCCCGTCATCAGCAAGCTGTACCAGGGCGACGGCGCTCCGCCTGGCGGCGCGCCGAAGGGTGCCGCCCCGGGCGCCGGTGGGGCTGGCGGCTCGGGCGGCGGCCCGACCATTGAGGAGGTCGACTAAGCGCAGGCGCCACCCCGTACGGCTTTCGACAGTTTGGCTCGCAGCTGTGGGAGCTCGATTCTATTCGCTTTCATTGAGGCAATGATTCGTGTGATAGCAAGGCGTTGCGTTGTGATTGGCTGCTATGCTTAGTCGGGACGGATAAATGGTGTTACCTGCTATACGGAATTATATGTGTAGCGATTCCATGCTTTACCTGATTTCAGTTGTACTTTGAAGTTGTCCGATGCTTTTTTGTGTACTGTGCGAAATAAATCACTTATGTACCTTACTGGGTAGTCTGGCGAGCATGTTGAGATGTCATATTTTCTGTTGGGGGAGCAGCTTAGCCACTGGGGTGGCAGCAGCGGCGGTAAGAAGACTTGGCGCGATGTGCGCTGGCGGGCAGACTTGGTTTCGCCGGTGCGTGCTTGGTCTCGCTGCGATGAAGCGCTAGCCCGTTCTCGCCGATGTCGCTCGCGCATGGCCGCATTCTTGCGCTCGAGATCAATAACTCAACAGTTCTCTCGCGCGGTTGACTGCCGCGTGACGAGGAGGCCGCTGGGCCAGAGCTGCCGCACTGCGGGGGGGCGGCACGCCGCGCACCAGGCGTCGGATCCGTGCGATAGAGCGGGCTTTGGCTGAGGTCGTCACCGTGGCGCCGCCTTGGTCTGGCCTGGTCACCACGTCATGTGCTGGAGGCTGCACGTGCAACGTGTCGTGCCACCTGTTCAGGTGTGCTTACTGGGGCGGGGGCTCCGCCGTGGGTCGCAGTGTGATAAACAGGTACCAGAGGACACTTGACAAGCCATTGATGCATGATGTCCGCGTGCCTAATGGCGAAATGCGGACAGTTTGAGCAAACCTGTAGACCTGCAAACCGCAGGCTCCCGAGCCCGACCACACCATGCACCGACAGGACGGGAACCCTCAGACTCAGCTAGGCTGTGCGCCGTTTGCCACATGGTTTGGACATGCAGTCTTGGTTGGCTGGTAAGCCGTTAACAGTAGATCAACCTCCGCTCCAGCGCACTAAAGTGCACGTATTTTTACCTCAAATGTGATTAACTGATGAACCCGGACGGCACGTGCATATTAAGCCCCAAGTAACAAACAAAAGAAGGCTGTCATTCCCACCCCAAAGACAGTATCCTTCTCGAACCCAACATCCGAGGACCTTCGCCAGGAGCCACGGCCCCAGCGTCCTGATAGCCGAGACACAGTCCCTGACCGCCACCTGGCGGTGCAACGGCCGCGGCTGCTGTTGCCACCTGGCGGCGGCGCCCCGACTGGCACACCAAGCTTGGCAGTCACCTGCCCCCATGAACCAAATGTCCTTACAAAACGTGCCCGTCGCTGTGGTTCCAGACAAAAGCGGATCTAGCCTGGAGCTTTTTTGTGTTTTTTTTGGGGGGGGAGGGGGCAACCGTTCATAGCCAGCTGGCTGGTGTGGGATTCGAGGTCCAGTGCATGATGCCTTTCGCGAGTACCTAGTAGGGACACCATTCAAAACCGAAAAAGGCACCGAAATGCTTTTGAATCCTAAAGAGAAGTTAGAACAAAACAGTTATAGTTAAAACAGACGGTAAGTAGACGAAACTTTTATAAAGTTCTGGGAATGTGCCTAACATACTCCCAGAGTTTTTTGGAGGGGGGGGTAAGACCCCGTGCCCCCCCCCCCCCCCCCCCCCAGGATCCGCCTATGCTTCCAGATAACGAGCCCCGCCCTCTTCTTGCGTCGCAAGCGGAGCGGTATAGTGTAGATGCGACGGCGGCCGCACAACTTCCTAATAATAGGGATAAATTGGTGTGATATTCTAGCAATCCCCCGGAAAGGTGTTGTGTCTGTAGGGAAGCATGGTAACTTGTACCTGTGCGGTAACTTGAAGGGCGGATCCAAAATCTGCCTCTCGGGCCCAAGTCACCATTGGGAGAGAGGGCAGTGCGGCCCACCCAAAAGGATACAAATTGACACCGCACCGCAGGTAGCACATGGCTGGTATAGTTACGCGCAATACGTGCAATGTACACTATAGAAATGGCAACACTCCATCATCTTAATAAGGGCACGACACCTGGGGCCCGCGGATGACAAGCCGAGCCGACCGCACCGTCGCCAGCATCCACGATTTGAAAGAGCAGCCTGCTACCCATCACTATTGAGACAGCTGACCTTTTCGCCTGTCTCGCTTCCGCGTGGCGTTTTCGGCGTGGGTCTGCAGTGACTGGGGCGGCTCGGGACACAAAATGGGGTTTGGGGATTATCCAGTCGAATTTAACCCCAAAGTCCACGGGCCGTACGATCCGGCACGGTGGTATGGAAAACGTGAGTGCATTGCTGCTGCTGCATGATTGCATGCTTTGATAGAAAAGTGCCTTGACACCGCGCAATGTTTGTCGAGCCATTTGGTTTTACCATTTTCTCACTTTTATAGCGCCGTGAGGTGAAATGCACAGCAGTGTGAAGGAATGTAACAATGAAAGAGACAAGAGGCTGTCAGATCTGATTATTACAGTGCTCCGGGTTCTTAGTCTCATTTCAAACCTAAGAGGAACTGCAATAATAACATAGAGAGCTCCCGAGTCTTGATGCTCTTCAAGACATGAAGGCCATGAAATGCATCTTGCCTCACAAGGGGTTTACACAAACAAAGTAAGTAAGTTTGTGTAAGGAATGATTGCATGGGCATGGCATGGGTTAAGGCATGTTTGTCTTAAAATGGGTTTTCCAGTCTTTTTTGTATGGGATATACCCATTGCGCCAAAACAACAGAAAGCTAGTGAGAAGCTTAACGCAGCTCATTCCACATGTGTATATCATGCATGTGGACAAGTGCTTGTGTGAAGTGCTCAAATGTGACAAATGTGACTCTAAAAGTGCTTTGCAAGTGCTCAAATGTGACCAAGCAGCTGGTGCATCCTGGAACCCAAATCATCTTGATTGTTGGACTAGGTGTTTTAACAAGCCAATTCTAGGCAGTTTAAAGTTTCAGTGCCCTCATGTAATGAGAGCTAGAAGCAGGCATTTCAAAATTATCCACAGGTATATGCAGGATGTAAGGATAATTACATGCAATGGGAAGTCTGGCCCTTCTGCACCCTTATTTCACACAATCTGTTCCCCCACTTATCCTTTATCCTTCGGTCACAAACCGGGACATCCGAGTTGTTGGGCTAATCTGCCAAGCCCCAGCCATCCATATTCAGGGAGGATTGCCACCTGGTTCGATAATTATTGGGTTTTTTTGGCAACAGGAGTAGCAGGCAGGTGAGCTTTCAGCTAGGGGTGGCAAGGGCATGGGGAAATGTTGACATTTCTGCCACTGAGCTGTCAGATTTTGAAACACTGGGTAGAAGGATGTGCTCTGTCATTTACTGAGGTCAGTGTGTACTTTTTCCTCTTCACATCCATTCTATTGCATGTCTGCAGGATATTTTTAAACACTGGTGGAAGGATTTGTCCTGTGGTTACTTAGGTCGCTGGTGTACTTGTTTTACTCTTCACATCCATTTTATTGCATGTCTGCAGGAGATTTTGAGTGTACTGATCATGTCAAGTGAGCAGATTTTCTCTGAAATCTTGTCTGCAAAATATCAAGTGTCAAAAATACCTCTTGTCACCACACAGGACGCTAATCTGGTTGCTGTTCACATTCATGATAAGCATGCATAGTACATCATATTTATTTGTACAGCCTGTGATCCAAATCTAGCTGCCCATGTAACATATGTGGAGGATGAAATTGCTGCTGTATCCTAAACAAGCCTGCATGATGTCCTAGCAACACCCTGTTCTGATCGTGTTTTGATCTGTGACAATGGCTCGTCCGTGTTTCAGCCGACACGCCACTGAGCCAGGTGAAGTTGGGAGAGCTCGGAGGCTGGCTGGGCCGCCGTCAGAAGTCGCCCCAGGCCATGACCGCCGCCATCAGCCGAGGTCAGTGGGCAGGTCAAGGCCAGGTCACGCGGCGGAACGCCGGTGGTCCACGACTGATGGCGTCTGTCATACATCCTCGGTCCCGTGGAAATGTTCCCCGGACCAATTTGAAGACGGTTCATGTTCACACCGCTCAGAACTGCGTCATTGGGGGCAGGCCTCAATGACGTGTAAGGCAGCCGATTTTCGTTTGTTTTTTTTACAATGGACGCTGTTTTTCAAGACGTTGCATCCACGCATAACGGTGCACAGCGCCACAGCCGCTGCGCTTCCGGAGCGCCGTGACCACCGTTTCGGCAAGGCCTGCAGCGTGCTGAACGGCGTCCCGCGGGCGCGCGCCGTCGGGCAGCTTCCGCTGACCCATGCTCTCCGCCGCAGGCCTAACTGGCGCTGGCTGCACAAGTACGTGCACCCGAAGCGGTCGGGCCTGGCGCCGTTCCCTGCAGGTGATCGTCGCCACGTCGTCGCTCTTCTACGTGCTGAACTACACCAAGATCAAGGCTCACCGTCTCCACAAGTACCACTGGTAGCCTGCCGGACGCCGCCCGGTTGGAGTGTAGTGTCGGTCTGTTGAGTGCGTGCCCGACCGGTTCGGGCCGGGAGAATATACGGGTGCAGCGCGGGGCGGCTTTGTTTGGAGAGTGCTCAACAGGTCGGCGGGGCGGGTGAGCTCACCAGAACCGCCAGGCAACTGCGCGCGTCGTGGTCTTGGAGATGGTTTGAAAAGGACGCAGTCAAAGACGCAGGGCCACGTCCGGAGACGGCTTGGGGTATATTCGCAGTGACCCGGACGACGCAGACTATTCTGTTGACGTCACTAATGACGTTCATAACCCGTAGGCTCTTCGCCGTTCGGGGTTCGCAGCGACTTTGGCAACGATTCCCACGTGGCTGCTCAGTTGCCGAGAGCATAACCTTGCCGAGAGCAAGTTTACATCATTCGGAGCACTCATAGTACCCGCAAACAGACGTCTTTTGTGTTTGCATGCGCAGTTGTTACCGGTTCGGAGATTGTAACAAACGACAAGGCGCGCTGAGAACACGGCCGGAGAGGATTCTACGCAACGCCGCGTAGGATACAATGTGACTCGCTGCGTCACGTTGGTCTGACTGGCACCGCGCACGACCATACGACCAGAGTGCCGGCTGGGGTGCTACGGCGCTCGGATAACGCGCACGCACCGCATAGCCTGCGCGCGTAGGCCAGGACGGTAAACCGGGGTGACTAGACGCGAGGAACGCTGACTTGCTGAGCAACGCGCTGTAGGCAGGGAGGAGTGCTGACAGGCAGGGGAGCCGGGCGTGACCTCGAATTATCCATTCTTGACAGGATATTTGAATGTTCATGCTCCCTGTATATAGCGTATATGTAGGGGCTGGGCTCCCAGCGTCTTATGCTGGGAGGACCGGTTTATTTGTGGTGTCAGCGTGTTTGTTGCCATTTGATGGAAAGGATGGAACCCAGTAGAGCTTGTAGTATCAGGGTAAATCAGCACCTGAAACCCCACGCAACGCCTCGGAACACCCGCACGTCACAGGACGGCGTTGTCAGTGGCAGAAAAAAACGTCCAGGACGCAGGTCCTTGTCACGATCCATACGCAGTGCCAACCACAAAAAACAAACTCGTAGCCCTAATCCTGTGTTGTGTATTGGTTCCGACACCAACGCGCGCATCAGAAGACCCAGACCGGGCTGGAGACCAGTGCGACCACCGGGCGGACACAGCTCGCCGCATCCCGCCCCGCCAGCCGTATCCCCTCTCCGTCCGTCGCGTTGCCGTCGACCGGCCTGCCACCTGGCGGCGGCGGCGCCCACTAAACCTTGATGGCGCGTAGGCTGTGGTTGAGCTCCTCGAGCTTGTGGATCTGCCGGATGAAGAAGTCGCCGTACCGCTGCGCACCTTGGTGTCGGCGATGTGAATCATGTCGCCGTCGATGTAGAAGTCGATCTGTCGGAGAGTGCCGTATGGGAGAGACACGGCCACGGAAGGCTGACTGTCGATAAAATCCCCTAGCAATACTCCCTGTACATTATTGGCATCGATACTTCTAATGGCCAACTCTCCGCGAATAATTGATATCGCAAACTGTCCATAACATCGATGACCTGGACGTTCACACATCCCGAGTCTTGTTTTCATATCGGCGCGGGTGCCGTACTGTCCCAGTTCATTCGTGACCGTTCACATGCTTTTTGGGTACCCATCCATCCTTCATTTATACATACATACATACATACATACATACACACACACACACACACACACACACACACACACACACACACACACACACACATATATATATATATATATATATATATATATATATATATATATATATATATATAGATATATATATATATATATATCTATATCGATATATCTATATATCTATATATATATATATATAGGTGTATATACATACACACAAAGATGTACATATATATATATATATATATATATATATATATATATATATATACGCAATTGCAGGAGCCATTAGCGCCGCTGTCCTGGATGGAAACCACGATTGGTGGCGGCTTTCCGCGGCGGGATTCGAGCTCGCCGCCACCCGATGCGAGCCAACAAGTGTCACCGCTCGGCTACCGTTGACGGCCAGCGCCTCACCTCCGAGTCGGACTGGAACTCGCCGTCCAGTCCGGACGTGCCGCGCGACCACACCACGTTCTTCATCTTGTGCTTGAAGCACATCAGGTAGCTACGGAACACGTCCTGGCCCAGCCCCAGGAAGGCGGACATCTTCTCCACCGGCATGGTGGTGTACAGGCGCAGGTAGCTGCGAAAACAAACGGCACCAGCAGCATCAGCGGTGCGGCTGGCGACATCCGAGAGACGGCAACACGCGGTCCATCCCACACCGCAGCGGCCAGCCTTCCAGCTCCCACACCGGCCAGCCGGACCCAGGGGCGGCTCGCCGGCGCCGACAGCAGCCCCGCGGCCCATATGCACCCCGCCCGGGCGTGCCACAGCCCAACCAGAGGCGGTGTGAGGACACGACGGCGGGCCTGAGTACTGCGCCGGGTCACCACACGCAGTGAAGCCCGGCTCCGGCAGCTAGCGCGCGCGCACCTCGCGTCATCACCACCACCAGCATCAACATCACCACTTCCATCACCATCACCACCGGCATCACCACCGCCACCGGTATCGCCTTCAAGATCACCATCATCATCATTACCATCACCACCCCCAATCACCATCGATATCACCACTACCATCATCGCCGTCATGACCATCATTATTACCATCATACTCACCACCCACGAGCATCAACCCCGTCATCATCGTCAACGCCTCCACCGCCCAAATCCTTGCCAGCATCACCCACCTGCGCATGATGGTATGCTGACGTCCAGGTAGACGGTCTGGCCCTTAGCTTCGGAGGCACATTTCATGGCGGCTTCGTAGGAGCTGTGCCGCGCCACCGCATCCAGAAACACCTGCTGGTCCACCTGGTGGAGCAGACGGCGTCAACAGAACTGGCTAAGAATAATGACTGACCGTTCTGTTGGCTCAGTACCATGACTTACCACACCGACCGGCTGCATATCTCACTGCCTTTGACGGACGTCAGTTTGTCTCTGAGCAGGCCGGTCGTCTCCCCGTCCCCTCTCCCAGGCCGGTCGTCCCCCGTCCCTTTTCCCAGGCCGGTCGTCTCCCCGTCCCCTCTCCCAGGCCGGTCGTCCCCCCGTCCCCCTCTCCCAGGCCGGGTCGTCTCCCCGTCCCCTCTCCAGGCCGGTCATCCCCCCCGTCCCACCTCCCAGGCCGGTCGTCTCCCCGTCCTTCTCCCAGGCCGGTCGTCCCCCTGTCCCCTCTCCAGGCCGGTCGTCTCCCCGTCCCCCTCTCCCAGGCCAGTCGTTCCCTCCGTCCCTTCTCCCACGCCGGTCGTCCCCCCCGTCCCCTCTCCCAGGCCGGTCATCCCCCCCCCCGTCCCATCTCCCAGGCCGGTCGTCTCCCCGTCCCTCTCCCAGGCCGGTCGTCCACCTAGTGTCCCCCTCTACCAGGCCGGTCGTCTCCCCGTCCCCTCTCCCAGGCCGGTCGTCCCCCCCCCCGTCCCCTCTCCCAGGCCCGGTCGTCTCCCTCGCCGGCGGCCATCATCATCACCTCGTCCATGAAGACGGTCAGCTGCTGCTTCTGCGGCTCGCGCAGGCTGCCAGCCAGGCCGTCCAGCGGCGGCGGCACCGGCGACAGGAACTTGGGCGACGCGAACGTGAAGCTGGTCTCGCACTCCTGCCGGCGCCGGCGGTCTGGTCAGCGGGCGCGCCGCACGGGAGCGCGTCACCGCCCCGCACGGAGGGAGCCGGCAGCGGAACGTCAGAAGCTGTCACCTCAACACCACCACCACCACCTCACTTCTAGTGTCACCACCAGGAGCTCCATCACCAAGCACACTGCTAAGTTCTCTCGCGCGTTGCGACTCGCCGCCGCGACGCTGATCCGAAGTTTGCGTTCATACTGGCTGACGTGACACGTGCGGGCATCTGAGCGGCATCGCTGTTATGGCTCGTCCAGGCTACCCTTCAGCTGCAAACGGGGCCGGCAAAAACCCATTGGCGTATTGTTTTTTTACATTTGGAGGTACTTTTGTCTTATCACGGGGTCTACAAATACAAGTTTTCATTTCTGATGAGCCATCAGGCACTAATTTTCAACTTATTTCGTTCAAATGGAGCGAGAGGGGGCGTGGCTTGCGCGTCTTCTTGAAGAGTACGGTTATCTTATTAACACTGACTCATTGGCGAATTGGCGAAATAACAACGGCGAAAAAAATCAATGGCGAACATTAACACTGGTGACAGGTGGCAGTTTTAGGGATCGGTTGACAAAAACACGGGGCTTAGATGACTAATGATTACATATGAAGTGAAATCGACGTGAACCCGTACGTTGGTTGGCATCTGGCATCTAACCACCCGCACCACTCACGAACTGTGTCGGTTGGAATCGACCAACACCTCCCAAACCACACCTGCAAGCAGTCACGGTTCTGAACAAGAGGGGTAGCCAGTTGGGGGATGGGCAATGACCCAGAGTGCCCGAACCCTTTTGTAATAGGACAGCAGAATGCCAATGATGATCAGCTGATAATTTGTTGTGTCACTAGCTCCTGCACCCATTTCCAGTTGCAGGCAAACATAATTATAGCAGTGAACAAATCATGACCATGTTTAACATAATACAACTGCCCCACAGAGGCACCAAGGCTCGCCGAAGCCTGCAAGAAAGGCTGGGATGCCGGGCGCCGCTCTGTCGCGGCCAGGTAACCATGGCAACCCACCCACCTCCCTGACTCCGCGGGACATCTTGAGCATCTTCTCGTGGTACTTGTCGTTGAGCTGCGACTGGACCGACTCGTCGATCGACTGCGGATGAAGCACCAGGCAGACGGCCAGCAGCGTGTACATCTGGTCCGTCTGCTTGTTGATCTGCGGCGGGAGCGGCCGCCGGCGTCACGGGGAGGGGGAGGGGGGGGGGGGGGGGGGCGTGGCGGAGAGGGAGAACAGGGAGGTGGAGGCAGGGTAAAATTCCACCTAATGAAACGATTTGTACGCAGATCTCAACAATTTACACAGCAAAGCTTTAATACAATTGCGCTTCCTGTCGTGGAAAAAGAATATGAAGCTGCAATCAATTATTGTAATGATATTCAATTCCAGAAAAAGCGACAGCCGGCCCAGTCACGGCCTTTTCACGATTAACTTAACTGAAGTCATTCGGCCAGCAGCATCCCTTACAATGACGAGAAAACCACTGTGGATCAGAACAGAGACAAGGACGGAACAAACTAATGAGACGCCACTACAAGCGGGCCCAGAGAAGCTATCAGAGACAGATGGCCGTCACAGAGCCGGGAGGCGAGCCACTGACGTCAGCCGACTGACGTCACAGAGCCGAGGCGAGCCACTGACGTCAGCAGACTGACGTCACAGAGCTGGGAGGCGAGCCACTGACGTCAGCTGACTGACGTTACAGAGCCGAGGCGAGCCACTGACGTCAGCCGACTGACGTCACAGAGCCGGGAGGCGAGCCACTGACGTCAGCCGACTGACGTCACAGAGCCGAGGCGAGCCACTGACGTCAGCAGACTGACGTCACAGAGCCGAGGCGAGCCACTGACGTCGGCCGGCTGACGTCACAGAGCCGAGGTGAGCCACTGACGTCGGCCGACTACACGATGCCTGGCCATCACCCCACTCACATGGTCCGACTGGTAGCCGCGCCCCTGGAACTGCTGCTTGGTACGCTGGATGTACAGCAGGATGTTGGAGAAGGTGCGGATGGCGTCCGCGTAGCGCCGCATCATCAGGTAGGCGAAGCCGACGTAGTAGTAGGTGGTGATCTGGCAGGCCGGCACGCGCGAGTACAGCGCCTGCCGAAGACGGTGATGGCGATGACGGTGGCGACTTAGTTGGACGATTCTTCACAGCTCCATAGTTGGACGATTCTTCACAGAAGCTCACATAGATATGGCATGGGTGATCTGCTAGTGGCTGTAAACACGCCTGGCGCTCTGTGCCGAATCGACCCTTTTACCTGATGCTATTGAATTATGCACAATTTATTATTCATTAACTCCGCCACACTCAACGCCGCTTCCACCTGCACATGTACAAGAGACTAATACCATTCCCTGTCCACTAGTGAGCTTACTAATAACTAATACCATCCCCCCGCAATCCCCTGTCCACTAGTGAGCGATGTTACGGAACCGCTCCGGCAAAAGGTTAGGTTAACTCTGGTTTGTAAGCCCAAAAGAAAATGCATGTATATATATATATATATATATATATATATATATATATATATGCCATATAATATATATACCACTGCTTGCCATATAATATATATATATATATATATATATATATATATATATATATATATATATATACTGAGCCACGTTTTTTACTGTTTCCGTCAAATGACGTGCCACACTGGTAGCTCATGCCCCCTGGTGTAAAGGGCGCCTTTGCTGTCCATGTTAACCACTGAACTTTACAAGCATGCTCCAGAGCGGACCACGGACCGCGACAAAAGGACACCACACATTCCACCAGCACGCCTCCATTCCTCGACCATAACTTGATTTCAATTCCGATTTCCACATGCATCGTTGTTTGAACCACTTCAAAACCAACTGACAGCAATCATGGCCACCCCTTTCCAAGTGGTTTGCCACGCCAAAGACGCGACTGCGCACGGTCGCACCTTTTTGTTGAGCTCGATGTTCTCGAGCACCTTGATGGCCTGATAGTAGTCTCCGAGGAGCGAGTGCAGTCGCAGCAGGCCAATCAGGCTGAAGTAGCCCAGCATCTTGTACAGTGGGTGGCGGCCGAACTCGCCGGCCGCCGAGTCTGGATTGCCGCCGCTCGTGTACACCTGAGTGCCGGCAAACCGGGGTTATGGACGACTGTTTGGTAACCGGTGGTTATGGACGACTGCTTGCCACCTGAGACCGGGTTCCCGAGGTCATAGACGTTTGTATCGCCAGAGGCCGGGTTACCACGGCCAGCCATTTGTGAGCACCTACAGCTGGCTTAGCACCGCTGCTGTGCACAAACGTTGGGTGGCGGGGAGACCACGGGCACGCGCGGCTTGCTCGTGCGCGACAAGTGGGAGGAACGGCGAGGGCACCACCGATCGCCGACAGCTGGCGTGTTGCCGTCACCGGCCGGTCACGCCAGAACGCACTGACGGTCTGGGGCGCCGCCCCGACACACCTCCAGCTGCTGGTTGATGTTGCTCTTCTCCACCAGCGAGTGCAGCACGTTCAGGACGCTGAGCACATTCCAGACGGTGGCGTTCTCTCGCAGCTGCTCCAACTCGTCCGGCGACTTCTTGGCCAGCTTGCTGCGGTACTGCGTGAACGCCTGGAACTGTGGCACGCCGGAGGGTGTTGTGAACCGGTCGAAGGGGGAGGGGAGGGGAGGAGCGGCAGGCGCACTGCTGCAGTGTCCCGCGCGCCAGGCCAGCGCCGTAAACGAGAGCACGGGTCGGGCGACGGGCCAGCGCTGGCTTCTCCGTGCACCGAGGCGGCCGGTGGAGGACGCTCAAGTGGACAGTAGTGCGCGCATATTGGTATAGTTTTGTCGAAACGCGTCGAGCTGGTATTACGCAGAAATATTCCGAACCATCACCCGGTTTTAAATTCTCCGGAATGTTCAGCAGAAGTGGTTGTGACACGTGACGAATGTGACAAAACTCACTTTAACAGCCGCAACCGACATTTCAGGAGCGGGTCTGAAGTGAGCCGACATCGATATAGCCTCCTTCGGCGATGTGCAAAATAACAATGCCATTATCCGGAATCCCAATGCTCAAAACAGCTCTCGAATGTTTTGATTTGGTGCTCTCATAATTATTTGGTACATCTTTTATATCACATGGCGTATAATTATTTCGTGCTCCCAAAATATCGGAACATCTTTAATGCGACAATGCCTATCATCATATGCGAAAAATGCCCCATTTTTCCCAGACGCGCAAGGAATTGCAAAATACTCCACACCGTAACGTGCTGAAAACAAAATTGCTGGCGAACAACTCATCTCTGCGTAGTGCACAGATCCCTTCCTCAGAATCTAGCCACCGCCTAACTTGCACGAAACGCAAAGACATCGGTTGGCCGTACCTGGTAGATGAACTCGTCGATGATATCCCACAGCCACTGGTTCGGCAACTCCAGGTTAATTGGCGTCTCCGTCACTGCAACGCGTCACAGAGCGGTTAACGGGCCAGTTAACGGTTAACAGAGCGGTTAACGGTGCAATAACGGTACGCTGTCTGACCCAATGGATTTCGCTTCGAACTGAACTGGCGAAATTGTAAAACGGAACGGCTGAGGCAGACGAGCGGGCTGTTGAACTGTACAGCTCTGGTACCTGACCTCCAATCGGAAGCACGAAAGCTTGCGAAAGAATGCTCACACATGTGTTTATGTAGTCAATCCCTGCAAAATGCTCTACCATCACGCGGAGCAAAAGCTTCGGCAGCTCCATAAAAAATACGCTTATGACTACCATGAGCACACAATGACCACGACAGTCAGAGCATCCCTACATTCATATATGATCATCAGCTCACCACTAGACTAACTCAAAAACAACATTAAGCCACATTTAACACGATATGCATATACAACAACGATACATATAAACGACTCTCTTCACGATGACAAATCCATCAGCTTCCCTCACGCCGACACGTCCGTCAGCTTCCTTAATGCCGTCGCTGTTTTTTTCCGCTGGGACCACGCCCTCTTAAGCAATGATGACGCACAGCAGTCAGCAGTGTGCAGCCAAGTGACACGTTTGTCCCAAACTCACACAGAATCATGTTGAAGAGGCTGCAGTAGTTGAAGTACGAGTGAAAGCGGTTCTCGATCTTCAGGTTGGAGGCTGGCAGCGCGTACAGATGCCGAAAGTACAGCTCCTTGTACAGGATCATGAACATCTGACAACATGATCCGACTGTGTACAGGCAGGCTGCATATGCTCTCAAGCTCCCAATCAAACAACAGCACCACTAACAATGTTGAGATGATTGTGATGGTGATGATGATGATGATGATAATTTGAGCTTTAGAGCTCGCTGACTGCCCTAGCCATATTGCCCATTTAATGTTGAGATGGAATCTGTACACTACAGAGAGCACAGGAGAGAAGTGTAGTTGGTGCTCAGTACCATGCACACTTCCATGCCTTTTAAATGGTAAGGATTAGTTAATGTCCAGGTTAAGTATACATGTAATGCTGCAAGCTTATCCTGGTATGACTCACCAGTGTCCAGCATGTAGTAAATAAAGAAATGTGTGCATACATGCATGCATGCATGAATGAATGAATGAATGAATGAATGAATAAAGAAAGAATGAATGAGTACTTATATATATATATATATATATATATATATATATATATATACATATTATATATACATACATATATATATATATATATATATATATATATATATATATATATACATCAGGAAACCACAAGATGCATAGTGGACTCAGTCAAAGCTCTGACAAAATATATACAAACACACACAGCCATGAGCAGCTGACAGGACACCCGCTGGCCTTTGGGCCGTGTTCCTACTCTACACCCAGCTGCGAGCTGCCAGAGCGGCGGCATCTGCTGGCGCTGCGGCGGGCTGCGGTGCCACCGGCAGCGCCGCTCACCAGGTTGCTGGGGTCGTCGCCAATGTAGGGCGCGATGTCGGCCGCCTCCGGCCACGGCTGACCCTCGAAGAACTCCTGTGTGATCCTCGGAAACCTGCGCACAGCCGAGCGCACATTCACAACGAAGCTTTTTCTTGCCGATGGTCACATCAGGCCAAGCAACAGCTAATGGAAAACACGGCGTTTACTTCCGAGAACAGAGACAAGCCAGCGGCGGCCTACGAAAAAACAAACAGCTTCTTGTGAATGGTGTCATACATTCTGGTAACAGCCCAAAACGACTTTGCGTGACTCACCGTAACCCTCTGCGCTGAACACGCAACTAAGGTGAAACACAGCAGTATATTACGTGCTACTTGAAGCTGCGACGCCTGGGCCGGGCCCACGCTACCGCGTGCAGCAGCCGGTCTCAGCTCAATACTCACTCGTGCTCGTACAGCTGCTGCACGTCGTCCACGTTGTTCTCGCGGATCATGTTTCGTAGATGAACGACAAACTTCCGCACCGGGTCCGGGACCTGCACGTGCCAGTTGTGTCATGTGCCACGCGCCAGTCATGGGATGCGTCAGCGCTGCACGACGGTAACGGTGAGGGCGTGATGGCCGTGTGGTCAGCGCCTTCCCGTACGCGAAGGGCCCGGGTACGAGACCTGGTTGCGACATGCCCACTCTGCTGAGGAGCTTTGATTCTGGGATCAGAGTTATGCCTACATTCCACATACCCATCTGACTGAATCATGAAACACTGATTAGCCAACACTGGAATTTTACTTCTGAACTGCCGCAACACCGAAATTTTACTAATAAATCTGCATGACAGGATTTAAACCCAACTCTACTTCAACAAAGATCAACTCAAACTGTGTGGGAAAAATCAGCGGAATATTCTGGTGGTGGCATGTATATGGCCCACACAAATGAAGACCATCATGTCTTCCAAGACAACTTCCCACCCGCTAAAGCCAACACTAATCAACTGTAAACACACAAGCTTGCTGTCCTCAGGGTACGTCTTCACATACCAGAAACTGTCTTGCAAATAAAAGAGGTGCAAAACACCAAACATTTCCTCAACACATCAAACACTGTACATCTGTAATAGCTACAGCCGCAATACATTCAAACATGGTGCAAACTGACCTTGTACTGGCTGAACTGGCGCTCATACTCCAGGTCAAGCCGTGGGTCACCTGTGTGGCCCTCATACGAGCTGTACCCATAGCCATAATCCATCTGTAAACAGAACCAGGCTTTAGATTGGGAACTGCAAGCAATCACACCAACTGTTGTGGAATATTACTTTTGAGTGTGAACTTACCTATATCAGGATATCACAGTGATCTACCATATAGTAGATCAGTCATGGCTAACTGATGTTGTTCACATCAAGCACTTCATTTCTTCCAAGCATGAATGTTATAAAATGCCCTGGTGTTGCCATAACTCAGTTCTTACATGCCTGCTGTTATCATTATCAGACACAAAGTAGACACAATATCATAGTGATTATTGTAGTCATTGTTATGACATAATCCTCCAATCTAGGCTTCCTGGTACCAATGCAAACTGGCCACTATATGACCTAAAGAATATGTAGTATATAATCATTCCAAAAGGCTAAAGAGAAATACATTCATAATTGGGATTACAAAAACTCAACTATATTCAGGAATAGGTTTATCTCAAACACAATTTATGTTATTTCATCTTGTGTGCATTCCAAAGCATGATCTACATTTTTTGTTTAGAGCAGGAGAGGGGAGGCAGAGCAAGGCAGGTGAGTCCATTGCAAGGATGTCTACTTGGCCTACATGACAGAAGTTCACTGAACCTCACCCTTGGATGCACTGAATTTTGGCCGGGTCAGTGTCTATATTGGTACCTGACAATGCAATGTGAAATTGTTCATTAGCTGGTGACTTTATTACATCAGATGCCATGCATGATTGTACCACAAGAATAATTTAGGGACAGACCATCATCTTACCTTCAAAATACAACAATTATGATAACAACAGCAGGTGCCAATCAAATATCCATCTGCCACACTGATGGCACAAGCACTTATCGGATATGGGTTGCCAGGAGTTGGGTGCCAAGGTTGGTCAGGGTGACCGTGGTTAGGAAAGGTTGCAGGTCAACTATGTCACAGCAATGAATAGCATAGCAATGATACTGACAGGTCAGGTGTGTTGCATATCTGGATAGCTCAGGCATTCACTATCATATTCTATTTATGATGTCATGAGTATGTTAATATGATGTTATGAGTATGAGTATGACGGTAAGAGTGTGGACATACCCACTTTATTCTTATTTACAAAACTTGATGCCTCAAAAAACAATTTACCTAGCATGCCCTTTCACAACACAAAGTACCTATGTCTCCCTATAACCACATAATGATTTATTTTAAATTAACTATCAATGCCTGCAATATCTTTTCAGAGCATGTTTGCCTCAAATCACTCACACTAACCTACTCCCCTGAAACATTGGTCATCCACGCATTGAAAATATTGGAGCGATGCCACCGCCATTCCAAATATTCAGCATACCACGTGTACCTGGCTTCACCCCATGCCCCTCCAAGCCACCGAAAAATGGCCGAAAATATCTACCTGACCATATTGTTGCAACGCTAACGGGGCGCCACCCGGAACGACATCAACACTTACCTTCCGAAGACCTGGATAAACTACGATTGGTCTGCAGATCACCGTCTTCAAATCCTGCTGGTCGTTTGTGGAAACGATAGGCCACCACTTCCACAGCGCCCCACGAGATGCAAAGCCCTTCACGACCCAATAAACGCCTCCCACTTCAACACCGCAGCTGTTCCCAATCCTCAGCACGCGGGCAGTCGCGATCGTGGAAAGGACAGCAAGAAGCCGATTGCCGGCATGGTGCGGCGAAATCGGCGCGTAGTATGGCAGCATGTGGCAGCACGCTCGAAGGCATATTCCCGTCACACGCGGGCGATTGCTTCAGCTGCACCCTTCTGCTCACACGCCGCCGCTCGACGCCATCATGAACGAGGCGCCGCGCCGTGATTGCATTCTGCGCTGCATTGGAACACTTCCTGAAGAAAACATTCCGAACCTCCATTAATACACAACAACAAGAGCGACGCAATTTATTTCACAACCAAACATGCAACGTTGCTTGATAATATGCAACGTCATCAATTTGAACCAAGCTACGAGCGTGTATACGACCAGTTCGCTGTAAAGTGCATCGGAAAAGGCGTAACAAAGTGCGGTACTCTGACAAACAAAACACCGCAAGGAACTATGCATCACTCGAATAACACCGAACAGGTCATTTTTACTCCTGCTGGCTCAACAGTTATCACAGCAGACAGCCCAGTCTTACACATGTTATGCCAGCCGACTGCTGGCCGTTTCAAACGCTCAGCAGGCCAAACGGGGTACAGAAGACACCGTTCGCGAGCGCGGAGAAGGATCGCGCATTCCTCGCTCCGTTCGCACGCTCCGCGGCCAGCCGCCGGAAGCACCCACCATGCGCGCGCTGCCGCAGCAATGCCGGATGGTTCGGGGGAGGCGGGAGGGGGGGGGGGGGAGAGGAAGCCGAAGTTGGCTCGATGCGCATCATATCCAACACGGAAATTTGTGCCAACGCCCGCCGCCCGCCACATGCCTCGCTGTTGCATTGCACACGCGCCGACAACCAAAACTTCCTCCCCACTTTCCGTCGCCAGCTACCATGCCTCTGCTCAACATCTACAGCCTGCCACCATGGATATGGGCCATTATACACGAAGCTGAACTAACGCTAACCGGCTTCGCCGCAAAGTGCAAGAAGCCCCTTCGAAGACGGCGACGCTGCGTACTTCGAAAGGAACTGCCCAATGTTGCGTGGTGGTACATGAGGTGCGTGATTGTGCGATGCACAAGCGGTCTACGGACCAGTCATTGGCAAGTTCTGGAAACGACAAACATCGACCCAGCACAACAGATAATTGGATCGGCAGACAGTGGACGGAAGCGGCCATTCACAAAACTGAACGTCTTGGAGAAAAACACTACACAAACCTCCGACGCTGCGCAGGTGGGGTCAAATACACGGCTTGACTTCAATGAACAACGAATTTTTAACACTATGGAAATGACACTACGGAAACAACAAACAAAAAACAACGAAATTTAACACGCAGAAGCTGGATTCTCTGAAGACCGCTGGGCGAGCAACAGGAAGCACCGGTATCTTTGCTGGCCACTCAAGCTATTATGGTGCCGTTTGACTAGTGACGGTGGTGGGTTTGGAAGAAAGCACTTCCAGGGCCACACTGCGCGCCGCCCTTTGGTATTTGATTCGAATCACGGACAAACCCGCCACCACAATCCGTGCAAGCTATTATGCTGAAGTATGCCCTTCACACATATATGCTGAAACTACTTCACCTAGACAAACGACTACGCTGAGAAAGCATGCAACACTTAAATACTCAACTATTACCATCTCTAGGGTACTAATAAAAACTCGTGTTTAGACTAAAAACGACCAGCAGTTCATCTATTTAAATCGCATGAAGGTGCACAAGGTAACTCGGTCGTACTTCCATTATAAGATATCCCTTACCTTGGGCATATGTCAGGACCCATCAATTCAGACATTTCGTCTCAGGCGAGCTCGCTTATTTCCATTAAAATATCTTCATCATCTTGTATATAAAGTGATGCCGTGGCATTACAGGGCGCATCCCACATGTCCGCATCCAGTTCGTGCTAGCTGCCATACCCTTCCATCTGATGACTAGATACGGTTTGATATTTCACTGACCAGGCAGCCGCGTTCAGCGTCTCCAGGTGGCTGCCGAGTCAGACCCCTGCGCAATCCCGCGTGGCCCCCGTCCACGACCTTCCGAGTGGAATGCGGCTTCAAATGCATCAACCTCCAGTCCTGCCCGGCGCTGGACCAATCCCCCGCCGCTGGTCATGACGTCACCCGAAGGTCTGGCCAATCATCGCCGCCCCCACCGTGACGTCACCCACTCGTGACCGACTCCCTCAGCGGGTGTAACCGCGCGGACCAGTGCGCGCCAGCTGTGCCAATCAATTTATCACAAAGATAGCAGCCCCGCCCTCTCCTCATAACAAAAATATAATTTGGACGCGAATAACAATAATTCAGTCCATGCAATACGGTCAGTTCAAGTCTAGCCCATGACGAATCAGACGGTCGTAAGAAGGCAGCTGACCAATCGGACGGTCACAGATCCACCAACGACCAATGAGCTGCCAATAGCTGAGCTGGTCGGCGGAGCCTGCCTCGCGGTCGCTCGTTCGCTTCTCTCCCGCCGCGTTACGCGGTCCCCGTAAGTAGAGCGTCGCTCAGAGTCAGGAACTGACGTCACGTGACCACGTGACGAACTGACGTCACGCCACGTGACGTGACCGGCCGGGTGGCTGTTGCCTTGAGCGGGGTGAGCGGCGGCGGCCATCACAGCCGGAGGGGAGCGGCCGCCGCCGGGCAGGAGTCGGCGGCCCGTCAGCCCCTGCCGTGAGCCGAACGCCGCCAGCTACACGGCGAAGTGCGTGCGTCGGAAGCCCTCCGCTGAAGCAGGGTCAAAGGTCAGCGCTCGAAACAGACACTACAGCGAACGGACACACATCGCCGTCGGTTCAAAGGCTGTGGGGAGGCAGCTGCATGTCAGAGGTCACGGGCAGCAGGTCAGCGGTCGCGGGCGGCGCCCACAGTCCATGGATACGAGATCACCGGTCAAAGCCGAGGCGCAGCCACAGATCTAGAATCAAAGATCACGGGACATAGATAGGGAGAGGGGGTGGGGAGTGGGGGGGGGGGGGGTCACGGGGCAGGATCATGGATCAAGTATCACAAGCAAAGGGCCACGGTCAAGAAGCCAAGCGTCACGGGTCACGTGTCATACACCAGAAATAACAGGTCTGTTGAACGCCTTTTACATGGGCAGGCAAGGTGATCATCGCAATCAGGAAGATAACACAAAAACCTAGGGAACAGAGCCACACGTCCCTGCCATTACGAAAACGGATTTTATCTAAACATCTTTCGAATGCCCGTCTTTTCTGAGAGTTCAGCAGGCAGAGGGCGCCGCTGATGTAGCGCTCGTGCACAAAATCAAAAATCGCATCAGTGTATCACTCGCAGGCACTGGGCCTAAGCCGAGGTCACATCGGCCGACGACCTCGAAAACTCTGGAATAATTTGCGGTTTCGGTGACTGTGATCAAAGCCCGAATACAGATAATGCAAACGTTTTATGCAGCTACTGGTCGCAACCGCCGGTGCTTCACGCCGGCGTGGCTGTGATGGCGTGTATCATCGGGGCTCTACGACGCACAAGGTTGGACCGCCCCGTCGTCACACCCCGATGACTCCGCGGTCACTCCTGGCGCACGCGTAACGTCACACTTGACACCCCGGCCGACCTACCGATGCCGTGCAGCACGGTCCTGGCCTGCTCCTCGTCCACCGCCTCGAACACGTGGCAGTAGAAGAAGCGGGCCAGGTTGCAGGACGTCTCCCTGCCGAGACAAGGACCCGTTGCTCGCCTGAATGAGCCGAACCGCGAGACGCGCACATGCTTCGCCCGAGCTGGGACGCTGTCATGGACTTGATTCGTGTATACAGTACGATGTACGTTTCGTACATCGACCTTTCCAGACATTTCATTCGTATGCGATACGAAGTGGTTTAAAAGAAAGGAAATGTAGCCAGTTGACTAATGAAACAAAAAATAGCACTGACAAAAATAGTATTGGTCATAGCAATATAGCAATACATAACAATAAAAAATGTAGCAGCCTACAGGCAGATTTAAGGGCCATATTCCAGCATGCTAGAACTACGAGTTCTAGTATAGTGCTTTTAACGAGACTCGTTAAGAGTACTACAACACGACGAATAAAAGCACAAAAGGGTAAGATTTTCAGCGTCCCGTCCCGTCCCGTCCCGTCGTCCCGTCGTCCCGTCGTCCCGTCCCGTCCCGCTCGACTGACCCGGCCACGTAGGCGAAGTGCCGGAGCCGGTCGTTGCGGCGGCCGCACGAAGCGATCTCGGTGTAGCAGTGTTTGCGCACCACCTCGCCGGTCGCCCGGTCCACCAGCGTGATGCCCGTCTCGCCCAGCACCAGCTGCACCTGCGGCAGCGACGTGGCTCCGTCCGGGACGCGTTCCGCACGGCACGAGCGCGGCGGCGCGGAGCGAGGCGCAGCGGCGTGCCGCTCGGTGGCTGGTGCCGCTCTCAGGCAGCGGCGCCGCAGGCCACCGACGGGTGTCACGCGCACGCAGCGTGCGGCCGACGGGTCCAACACACGGCGTTAGTCACCTCAGGCGCGCACAGATGGCCGCTGATGTGGCCCGTGAGGAGGAGAGGGTCGCCGCCATCCCGGCGGGCACCGCACGAAACACAGCGGAGGTGAGCCCTGTTAACGTAGCACGCAGATAGAACATTTGTCCGGTTTCCGTTGGGGCGACGACTGCGCACCGATGAGTTTGCGAGGCTGTTGCGGAGCCTCACCATTTATGAAGCTCTTAAGCGTGGCCAGTTTACTTTTTCACGGCCGTCATTGCACGGACCTGCGCAACTCTTCGTGCCCTTGTCCTAGAGCTCTGGGGGAACGGACCGATTGCCCCCCCCCCCCCCCTGCCACGTCCATGGCCGCCTTTTCCGCAGCAACTCCGGTGTCAAGATGGGGAGGATCAATGCAGGATGGCTTGGACTCGTACACCGACAAGGCAAACCCACCTACCCATCTGCCTCGCCCCAGAGCTCGAGCTCATCACAGTTCATTCCTCATGTACCCGTCTGGGCCTGCCACCATCGCCAGCTCTCAGCCCGCGCCATCTTGCTCCGCACTGCCGACCCCCTCCCCCCCCCCCCCTCCCTCCGGAGCGACTCGGCAGACAGCTGAGTGCTTGACCTAAACAAACCAGAGATACCAGAGACGCTGCGCAGCAGCGGCGCGACCCATGCCCTCGAGCTCCCCAGCTCAGGGCGTGAAGGGCGCGCGCGCCATGATGACCACGCCGCCCTGAATCCAACCCAGCTAGCCCCGCGCCAACGCGGTCTCCACCGCGCTCGCCCAGCGCGCGGGCGTCACCTTGTGCGGCTCGGGCTGGTTCCTCAGCACGTTCTCCACGCCGATCTCGATGACGGTCACGTCGCCACGATTGCCGACGAAGCCGGCGCCCATGTAGTGCACCGGTGTGCCGGCCACGTACTGGGCGGCGGGGCCGGGGTCCGGCTCGGCCGCGTCGGCCCGCTCCGGCGCCGCCGCCGCGCTCTCGGCCTGGCGCCGCTGCTGCTGCGCCTTGGCCTGGTACGTGGCCGTCAGCTGGGCCAGGTCGAGGCGCAGGTGCTCCAGCAGTGGGATCACCGGCGGGTACAGGTCGCCCGTGACCGAGTGACACTGCGGCAGACGAGACGGCGGTCTCCGGACTGGGTACAGGTCTCTCCCAGACGTCGGAGCTGAGGACCAGCAGGGGGACACCGGTCCTCCATGGTACTGGGGTCTCCAGACTGGGTACAGGTCTCTCCCAGACGTCGGGGCAGAGCGACAGGGGCCAGTACAGGATACAGGTCCTCCATGGTACTGGGGTCTCCAGACTGGGTACAGGTCTCTCCCAGACGTCGGTGCTGAGCGGCAGGGACCAGCGCGGGATACCAGTCCTCCATGGTACTGGGGTCTCCAGACTGGGTACAGGTCTCTCCCAGACGTCGGGGCAGAGCGACAGGGGCCAGTACGGAATACAGGTCCTCCATGGTACTGGGGTCTCCAGACTGGGTACGGGTCTCTCCCAGACGTCGGGGCAGAGCGACAGGGGCCAGTACAGGATACAGGTCCTCCATGGTACTGGGGTCTCCAGACTGGGTACAGGTCTCTCCCAGACGTCGGGGCAGAGCGACAGGGGCCAGTACAGGATACAGGTTCTCCATGGCACGGGGGAGTTTCGGGACGCGTCGACGGCCAATGGTCACGCAGCATGACACTGGGAACGGAAGATTGGTGGTCACACAGTCAGCAAAACCACAACACACATTGGTATTCATACACGTCTACAACACGTGCAGCACACCAATGCTATACGAATTCAGGCATACATATTTGCAACCGCGAACGCTGCCGAATATATTGCGGTGGCTACCACCACGACATCACACCACGATCAGACCAGTGCCGCAGCAGTGTTGGATCGGAATAAATGCTCACAGATCGCTGAGAGACTGTACATCCGTCCATCACTCCATGCTGACAAGCTCTTACGTCCCGGCATTCGCAAAACACGCTCGCAAAGCCTAACCGGCGCCTACGCCGCGGTGTTATGAGCAAGCAAACAACGAACATTCCGCATTTATTTTGTTTCGAACGTTCTGTACCGGTGACGTCACTGGTGCTAAGGAGACTGACACATCGACACATCATACCGGACACTGCCGCACGCTAGCGTTGTGTTACGCCGTGCCACGTGACCGCCCTTTGCAATCGGCCACCGACGGGCAGACGCATTAACTTAATGGCGCACCATCCATCCCTTGGGCACACCTACCGATTGCGCCAAGCCTCAGCCTCTTAATGGGACTGTGGTCCGCCATCAAATACATGAGCCCGTTGACAGGCAATGTCCTGACCCGATCCGGTTAGCACTAAGAAGCGGACACAGAAGGAAAACTCACCTAGACGACATCAACAAATAGCGTCCATCCACGACTACGGCATACAACATGGGACGACTGTACAGGGGTGTGCTGGGGACGCAACTGCAAGGGCGACAGACGCCGTGGTCTCGTTATTTGACGTGAGAATACAAATTGAAGACGGTCAGGAGGCACCGCAACTATAACACGGATTGAGCCGATATAAACATAAATGTTTCCTCAAATGAACAAGACCATTCTTATTCCAAAAGGCAGTGCCTGCGAATGAATGAAATAATGCCAATTTTCCACATTCCGTCGCCCAGAGACAAATGGGCCTAGGAGTTATTTTTCTCAGGCTGAATTATTTGCGCGATTTTATGCAGATCGAAGAACTGCATCTTAAGATGGAAAGCAAAACTAAAAAAGGGGAAATTGTGATCGAAACATGCCCAAATATTTTTCTCCAAACATCATTTATTGAATGCGACGAGACCTAAAAATGCTCTTAAGCGATTAAGCTGACAGGGCTTGGATCTCTTTGCCTCTAGAAGGCAGCCTTGTCCTCATCCGTAACGCTGTGGACGCTGAAACTATAATAACCACACCACTGCCGGCACTCGTCCCTATGGGCAAAATGCGAATGCAAAAAGAACGGCCAAGAAGATGGAAGTTCCAAAAGTCGAAGAACCACACGAAGGACGAAGCTTTCCAGAGTTCTTCTAGCGTTAGGAAAACTTCTGGCCAGAATAAACACGCCAAATGAACATGAAACTGATCCTCCGCCATCGTATGCATTTCAACCAAAAGCGAGTTTTTGATGGGGTCAATGCGCTGAATATCGACAATGATGTTCAGACAGCTGACGGCAGAAGCGACGACATACAGGCTAGTCACGATACACATACAAACACAGCATGACAACAGCAGCGACAGCGAAACGACGGCGACAGCTTCAAAGCGAAACGAACTCAGAAAAGTGAAACAAAGACAAGCAACGGCAAGAACCACCACGCACATTACGAAGAACAACACGCGACAGACAGACGAATACGACGCAGAGTCGCCGGCCCGTCTTGGCCCGTCACGCGCTGACAATGGCCCACCTTGACGACGCTGATGTAGACAGGCATACCCTGGTAGAGCTTGAGCAGGGACGACACCCTGCCGCGTCGCATGCCGTAACAGCACTCGCCGTACAGCTCGTCCACGATGTCGCCCGACTCGACCTTGTCCTGACGACGACACACGCGGCTCGTGCTGAGAGGTGGCCGGAGCCAGGAGCGCGGTGGGGCTGTGGTGGGCCCATCTCAGCCCACCGGGAGGCTATCAGCTCCACGGTAACAACGGACAAACTGTACTTATCACTTACCATGCCAATTTATTTATGTTTTATCTGAGAACGGAAATAAGGGTTTACTTTAACATAATTTAAGCCATGCTCGATTACAGGCCTATTTTATGGTATTAGCAGGAAAACAGCAACCAGCTGTTATCTGCATTACGGTGTCAGTATTCAAGGTATAATAATACAATTACCAACACAGCTTGCATAATAATAAACAATGATTAACACAGCTGCTTTGAATTCCGTAGTCACTTTGGACGCGTCAATACTGCGAGGCGGGCAAACTGGAAGCAAGGCAGAGTGGTACCTCACCGTGGCCGGTTGCAAAATACCGAACGAACTTGGAATGTTTCCATTTGGATCATTTTCAATCATAACTTACAACAGTTTGAAATCATGCTGAACAAGCGACGTCCAAACCAAGCTTCTGCGACTAGGTACGTCACCACGTCTTGGAATGTTTCCGTTTCATTCAGTTTCAAACACGACTTAGCACATTTTCAAATCACGCTGAACAAGCGTATGTCCAAATCAAGCTTCTGTGACTCCATACACCAATGATTAAGCCAATGATGAGGGAGAGGAGTTTGGAAGACTAATCAGCTTATTGCTCACATAACCAGAAACGCACCGCTTTCTTCTGATTTCATTTCATCAAACTGGCAGACTCCCATCCCGTGACTCACAGAAGACAGCAGATGCCTACATCTCACGCGTGCGTACGATTCATTCTCAACCACATCTTCGGCTGTCCAAACGAACAAAACGGCACTCGGGTGAAAATACGAGTGCCCGTATCGCATTCAGACATAGCACAGCGAACGTGCTCAGCACCCCGGGCGACCGGGAGGTCACTAACCTCCTCCGCAGCCACCGAGTTGGGGTCAACTTCCACCACCACCATCCGCGACTTGCAAAACCTGCCGCGGGACGGGCCAATCAGCGCCAAGTCCGGTCGACGGCGCGCAGCCAGAACGGCCGCCGCCGGCGGCACATCCCGGCGGCGATCGCCCGCTGACGCGACCCCGAGGTCACACAGCTCTGAGCCTCAGCGTCGCAATGTCCACAGCGAGGAACCGCTGACGGCGGGCAATGCGACCCAGATGCCGGTCAGGTTACGATTTCAAAAGCAACAAGAACAGTCCAAACAAATATTCGACGCCAGGAATACGTGACAATCCGTTCGCCATTTCAAATGCGTCTCATTGACAGGAATATCTGACAAAGCATGTCCTCTAAGCAATGCTTTGAGAAGTAACGCAATGCTACCACGAAACCAACACAACACCAGCGCCGCTCTAACATGTCACTCACGACTGACTGTTAGCGTCACACCAATACCGCACGCCGTCACACTGTGACGGCAGCCAGGGGCGGAGTCGCCCGAGTGCCTCCCCCTCCCGGCACAGTCTGCTCACCCGAACGTCAGGCCGAGTCGGTCGCAGGGCACGAACTCGAAGCGCCGGTACACCGGCAGCAGCCACGTTTCGTCTAGGAAACTGGCGTTACGCACATTCAACCTACCGACGAAGACGGCCGCACCGTCACGGGCTGGCCGCAGCAGACGGGCGCAACTGACGGATTGGCCACAGCAGACGGGCGCAACTGACGGATTGGCCGCAACAGACGGGCATAACTGACGGATTCGCCGTAGCGGACGGGCATAACTGACGGACTGGCCGCAGCAGACGGGCATAACTGACGGATTGGCCGTAGCGGACGGGCATAAACTGACGGACTGGCCGCAGCAGACGGGCATAACTGACGGATTGGCCGCAGCAGACGGGCATAACTGACGGACTGGCCGCAGCAGACGGGCATAACTGACGGACTGGCCGCAGCAGGCGGGCACAACTGACGGATTGGCCGCAGCAGACGGGCACAACTGACGGATTGGCCGCAACAGACGGGCATAACTGACGGATCGGCCGTAGCGGACGGGTCAACTCTACGGGTTAGCCGCAGGAGACGGGCCGACCGGAAGACACAGGCACAGAAGGAGCAGACGAACATAATTTCAGCGCATATCTGCAAATGATAAAAGTCGAAACCAACTGTTAAAAATGAGACAAACCAAAGCCGAAACCATCCGTTTAAAATGACGTGAAGCCGGACACAGCCATGGAAAATGGCTCAATGTCAAAGTCGAGCCCAAAGTCAATGAATTAAAACTGGAACATCCAGAAGCCGAGGTCACATCTGTTTTGTCGCCATACGTGATGACGCCATCGGATTTTTCAAAAACTTTAACCGACATTATCTTTACAAAACAGAGAGGCGAAAAATGCAGGTATCCTCACACGAACCACTCCATGTGAAGCCAACCTGCAAAAGAGGGGTTTATTGAATTTTGCTTGGTGGGAGGGATAAGTTCCGGCGCTGAGCGTCCATACACCACACCACAAAACAAAACATAACCTCTAGTGTGAAGGTAACACTCATTTTCCGCGCGTGCTTCTCACAAACCTCGCTACTTCCTCGCTCGCCTTTTCAGTCACACGCTGGCAAATGATTCCATTTTCTTGCCCTCCAAGTCATGAAAATATCACTTACATCTTAAGACCTACTTTTTACTATCAGTATTTATTACTGGACACTGATACTGCCAGTCGTTACCCCCCCCCCCCCCTAAAAAAAACTGGGATGCAGGGCCTGCATAAATGAAGCTCGAGCCTGACCAGCACTACCCCTAGTTTTTTTTTAGAATCATCTATAACATTACTGAAAGAGATGTGTTTCGCTCCAAATTGTCAGCGGTCACTTGCACTGGCAACACCTCAATACATATCATGCAAACATTTTTTTGATAGCTTCCTCCATCCGGGTAGATGGCAGGAAAACAAGGCTGTAAGAGTTGGCCCGCATCTGCTCTGCGTGCACTTAACCCGGCTATCTCCCACAGAAAAGCGGCAGGATCCGAGACAGCCAGTCCTGCTCAGGGGACCCCAGCTAGTAACGGCCTAGCAGAGACCACCGCCGACACAATGAAGAGCTCCGCCCCGCAACAAACAGGGTCCGCCCCCGCCGACCTGCCCACAGACGCGAACTCAACACTCACCTGGTGGTTAAAAGATCATTGGAGACCGACAACAACACTCAAGAAAATATCGCTCAGGTATTTCGCTTAATGACAATGGGAAATAGACGGACGAGTGTGAAGGCGTTCCAAAGCCCCAGGAACCGACCAATCCCTGGGTGGGGGGAAAGGTCGCTCGGTAAACGACACTAGGCGACGCATGGTCTGCCCAATCACCATGCGGGACCCATTGCCACCAAAACACGCAACAACGCGGCTTTCCTTTGGTCAAAAGCTCAGCACGGTCTGCAAAGCAGGAGACCACAAGGCCACGGATCGCGAGGCCTGGCGTTGAATGGGTGTCCGGTCCCTGCAGACCCGCCCACGACTCGGCCTTAAGGTCAAGACAGACGGAATACGGCCAACCATAATGCAGCGGTGGTGGAGGAAGACAGGAAACGGAGCACCACATCTCTCAGCGTTTGCACGCGACGACATGGAGCGTCATTCACGATCGCTGGCATTTCATGTCTCGGTTAATGGTTACTGATCGACAATAGGAAGAAGGCACAATGGAAAAAGCCATGCGCTTGCGTGAAAAGGTGGCGAAGTGGTGGATTGAGAGCAACATGATGATCCGCGAATGGTGAACGCAGGCAAACCCAGGAGGCAGCATGCCGCAGGATATTATTTACACGATTTTTACCATTCAGTACTTTAATAACAACAAATAAATCTTAACTCTGAGAGTCTCAGAACGACAAATCACAAGTCATATACAAACAAAAAGTGGACCACAAATGGTTAAACCACACACAACCTTTACTTGGAGACCACTTCTAACTAAAACTTAGAGCTACAAAGTGTGCAGACATAGTTTGAGGAGCTAGATATCTTATCTAGTAGAGATAAGACATAATATAAGATATTCTATAAGATATCTAAGATAAGATATAATACATCTAGAGCAGCTAGATATCTTATGATGTTCTGACTCTCATCCTCCTCTAGTGCGTTAGTATGTCCGCTACATTTCCGCCAGTTCGTGCTGCCGCCGTCGTCAGGTGTTATTGAGTCCTAAGGAGAGCTCGATGGATGGTGTTTGGCTTAAAATACGCCTCACAAACCGATTTTTTCTTGGAATTGCCGAGGATCGAAGCGGTCCGGAACGCTGGACTCGTAATCAGAAGAGCCCAGCGTTCAACCACTGAGCTAGCCGGGAGAGGCCTGCCCCGAGAGCCGGGAAGACCTCCCCAATTGGCTTTTCCCGGGAACCGCGAAGGCCCTTCCCGGTCCGCTCGGTAGCAGCACGCTGGGCTCGTAATCAGAAGACCCCGGTTCAAATCCCAGCGATTAAAAAATCAGTTGTGACGTGTACACGGTTGAAATCCGAACACATCCAGTCCTTCTCATGACTCAATCACAACTGGCGATAGCCCGAGCATACGCTGATTGCAAGCGTGCGTACATACCACCAAAACAGACCAGGACGTTCATCCCAACAATTAATCAACAGCCGGTTTGTCCTTTGCCCGCCAATTATTGTTGACAGCCACTCAGCGAAGCCACACTCAGGAACACCTCTCTTAGAGAATGAACGCAGATTTGAAGAGCAGCCGACGAGCAAAGAACATTCTCCCAGGCTTCAGAGAAGGAAGTGATATAAATGACACGAATACACCTGGAAGGAGCCCACGAGCCGGCAGCAACCCAGAGAATGGCACGCATGCATTCCTGCTCCAGAGTCTGCCGGCGGACCCGCAGAAGGTCTCGGCATGAGCCGACTCACCGGAACTTGAGCAGCGACACCTGGCGGAGCAGTGAGAGGCAGATCTCGGCCAGGATCTCGTGACCCATCACAGAGTCGACCCGGTCGTACACGGCCAGGTTCTTCCCGCACTGGATCTGTCGGAGGGCGCCGGTGGCGTGAGGGGCGCCCCCGCGGGCGGCGTCCAGGAGCGGGACCCGACACCAGCGGCACTCACGCGGGCGGCGTCCCGGAGCGGGACACACCAGCGGCGCCCACGCGGACGGCGTCCCGGAGTGGGACACACCAGCGGCACTCATGGACACACACACGCACGGCTCACGCGCTACGGCAGCATCCACAAGTGACACTGCACCTCGCACACCCTGACCCTCTTAGACATCTCTCGTCTTGTGTTCTATCGTTGTTAGTTTGTATTCCAGAAACACACACGTCGTGGTGAAACCAAACACTGAAACTTGTACCCCCGCCAGGAAGCTGCCGCCCGTCCGCTTCAAATTGAACAACCGTTCTGATGCATACGACCCCACATCGCCTCTTCTTGGGAAAATCGTTACGACGCGGGCAAGTGCGATGTTCTGCTCATCTGCCAGCTCCTTGAAAATGGGGACGGCATCAAGTATCACCAAACGGCATCAAGTATCATGGGATCAAACATCACCAAACAATCTTGGAACAATGCCGAACCCAGTAAAGAAAAGTGGTTTACTGATTTTGCGGTAAAGTAAAAAAAAATGACGGCACCAGTTTATCTAAGACTTAATTCCAACCAGGCCGGCTTGCCCGTTTATTCTGCATCAGATGCCAGCTCGGAGGACGTTTCCCAACATTTAATAGTTTTGTATCAATCTGAGTGTGGTGGCTACGAACTTTCGTCCAAATGTGTCATTGTGGTTGGTTCCGAAGCTCGGAGCACTGGGACGCAATGCCGCTGCCAGAACGCGAAGTGCCTTGATCCTGCGTGGCTTTTAACTTAGTGCTTGTCAATATTGCATCAGGAATATCACCGATCATTCGCAAAGGTTGATACAAAGCACTTATATCCACAAAGCGCAGAGCAAAGTTCTGCGTATTCTTCTACGCTCAATGGCGCAGGACTCATTCGAGGTGTTCTGGTAGCCGTGTTTTAACGACCCCATTCTTGTCATTGAGTTACGGTTCGCCAGCGGTCTGCCAGATGTCAGAGCGCATCAGACTAAAGGCGCCGCCCACAGACACGCATCGGAGATGAGGCTCACCGGCGACAGTCCACGGACTCCCATCCCAGACATGGGGGCCGGACAAGCCCCCCCCCCCCCCCCCCCGTTCTCGCCCAGCGTGCGCGGCGACGCCGCGCGCACTCACCAGGGACTCGATACGGCACGTGCAGGCAGCGTTTGAAGAGGGCGCAGCGGAGGAAGAGGCGGCCGCGGCCCTGCTGCGTGTGCACGCGCTGGCTCTTCTGCACCGCCTCCACCGAGTGGTGGAAGCTGGACGACACGCTGACGGCGAGCGACGGGACGGCGTCTGTCACACCGGCGACCGGCTCCCGCGCCCGTGAACGGGGCTGGACCGTGTCCGGACGGCGGCGCGAGGTCGACAAGCTCGTGATGGACACATGTGTGACGTCACCAGGTTCGCGCCACATGCAGATAGTGATGGGCACCGGACCGGACCACATCCAGATGGCGACGGACACTCGTCGACATGTGATTGGTTGGCACGGGGATAAAAAAAAAACGGCTACACCATTTGATGGGTTGTGCTCGGTTAGGTCCGCGGTGGGTCACCGCAGTAGCTGACGATACAGATACAAAAATAATGGGGTTTGGTCAAGCTCAATTCGGAAATTCACACCACCGATCTGCGCTGCAATGACATGCACCGCAGTGCCACACTGGCATGATGGCTGTACAATGCTAGATGGTGGCGACGCATTCGGCGTGAAAAATGCAACCATTAGCCATCAAAGTGAGCCAAATATACACGCTCCATATTCTCTCGGCAAACCCCGCCGCGTATTTGCCTGTGTCATTCCTGACAAGACTGACCGTGGGCCGACTCTCAGACCCGGCCGAGGCCCAGTGCCCTGTTGAGGATGAGGCGCCTTCAGTACAGTGCTCCATCCCAGCCGTCGTTTGTCTACTACCAGAGCAGTCACACTACTACCTTCTACCACAGAGAATCACCAGGACAATCACACGCAGATTCTGTCCCGAACGTCACCTGTCTCCTGCTCGTCTCATTATACCCTAGTATGCTCTGACAGTCCCGTTTCTCCTCGCACGGGCCCACCACTGGGCCGCTTTTCTCACGATGGGGCCCAACTGACCAATGCCTTCTCTGGTAAAGGTCCGCTGACCCGTTTCTCCTTCGACAGACACCTCACCAACTGTTCACTTTCCTAAGAGACCTCATTAGACAGTCCCTGCTTTCTGCTAGACGCCCCTGAGCATTCCCTGAGAGCCGTCAATGTTCTGCTTGATCTCTTGGTAGGACCCCAATAACCTGTTTATCTCCAAGCAATGCTCCACTGGACCGCTCCTATTCTAGTCGATCATACGACTCCCTTGTATGCCTACCACTGATAAGCTATCCCTTTCTGAGGAAACCCGCACTTATCACGTTGTCCCCTTATAGACATTAGATTCTTTCCCTCAATACCTTTTGTAATCTCTGTTGCCCTGCCTCCCTCCTGATAACACCCACCATTTACCAGTTCCTTTCTGAGCGCGCCATCCCCTGTCCTGCCTCTCTCCTAGAAGTTCCACTGTCATGCTATTCTCCCCTGAGGGCCCCTTGTTGTCATGCTATTCTCCCCTGAGGGCCCCTTGTTGTCATGCTATTCTCCCCTGAGGGCCCCTTGAGGGCCCCTTGTACCAACTCCACTCACCTGATCCTCTCCTGGTGGACCGACTTCTCATCTGATCCTCTCCTGGTAAGCCGCCTACACACACCCGATTCCCTCCTGGTAGGCCGCCTCCACTCACCTGAACCTCTCCTGGTAAGCCGCCCACACTCACCCGATTCCCTCCTGGTAGGCCGCCTCGACTCACATGATTCCCTCGCGCGTAGATCTCCTGGTAGGCCGCCTCACTCATTGATTCCCTCCCGTAGAGGCCGACCTCACTCACTGATTCCCTCCTGGTAGGCCGACTCCACTCACCTGATCCTCTCCTGGTAGACCGACTCCACCACGGACCAGTAGTCGCGTTTGGTGATGCCGAATGGAGTGTACACGGGCCCGACCAGGCCCTCGCGGAATATGCGCTCCAGCACCTGCCGCGTGCCAAACGATCCTCATCATCATAGACGCCACTGTCAATCATCCGTCATTCGTATGCCACCGACGATTACACAGCTATTCAAAACACGCGTCAAGGCACGCAGTTGCAACCAGGTTACGAGCCGATCAAAGAAAAAAAGTTGTAGTTGCACCCGGAGTTGCCTCGCAGCCGTAGACACATCCACAAAGCTCCGCCGGCGTGCCGCGGACTGGCGCTTGTGCCACCACCTGGTTCCGCTCCGCGGTAGGTCCGGTCGACGTGCGTGCTCTGCACGGGCGCCAGGCCTGCGCGGCGCTCTGGCCACTGCACGGGCTCATTCACGGACATGGAGGTGGCCGCGACCCGCCCGAAAGAGAGGCGACCTAGACTTCGGGGGCGCAGGACGCAGGCCGGCGGTCGCGGGACGACCACCCGGGCGACGACGGCGCGTTCCAGCGTCCCAGAGGTTTGCTGACCCTGCAGCTTGGCCCCGCGCCAGCTGACGTCGGTGCTGAGCCGCTCGTGGCTGGTCTCAAGAAGCCACCTGACCTGGCGCAGCCCGCACACAGTAGCCTTCAGGCGAACCAAACACGACGTGCCCAGCAGAACTTTATGTGTTATGTCATTGGGGCTTTACGACGCACTCAGCTGCTGAGGCTGTATGGCGTCGCCTGCCTCTCACCCTGGCAGGAAGGGCGGGCACCGCGGAGAATCGAGCCCCGTACCTCTGGTTTCCTGGACGCACATTGGTTAACGCAGATGCATTAACCACAACACTACCAGCACCTCCAGCAGAACTTTAAAAAGCCTACTCGTCATCGTGCGGATATCTGACGGCGGTGTCACCGCCGCGAGCACCGGCCTCGCCTTCCGTTCGTGGGCCTCGCCTTCCGTTCCGTTCCCATGAGCACTGGCCGAGAGTCAGAGTTAGAGGAGTGCGTGCACGGGCGGAGCCAAAACGCTGCTTAGGAAGGGGAAACCCCGGCTTCCGGCAGCGGGTCCAAAAGGGTGTCCCAATTTCGAGAAAAAAAGCTCTGCGGACTTTACGTCCTTTTCCTTGAAGGGGGGTTTTAAAGTAACTGTCTTTTAGTAAAAGCTTCCCTAAATTTTCTTTGAAACCAAAAACTGTGTAATTTGGTCCAAATTTTGACCATCTTGGACGGGCTGGCTGGCCTTGATAGATAGTTGCAATCAAATCTTGATAGATAGTTGCAATGTCAGACTCAAACATGCAATGCATGATGTCTAAAATTCAAGCATTTTAAGCCCAGCCAACCAGGCATTCCTTAAACTGCTGAAGGCGTTTACATGCGCGGCGCTCAGTAACATCGCTCGGCCGGGGGGGGGGGGGGGGGGAGGGGGCTACCCGCCTGCTGGGCGGTGCTGTGGTCGCCCGCGCCGCAACGCTGGCAGTTATCCCAAAGACGTCTAGACAGGCACCCCTTCCATTTCATCCAATGTTGGGTAAATACGCTTTGGTGCCATAAAGTTTGTATTACCGAACAGCAGTGATCACATTACACACCATGTAATCATTTGAAATTCTAGTATTGGGTGAAACCGAAACAAAATAACCGGGCGCTGGCAGTGCTTTTTAATGGGAGGGGCCATAGCTCCGTTCACTTTGCGTAGGGTGAATTTGTTCCGAAATTCCTGTTGTGGTATCATGCTTGATTTACAAAAATGTGAACAATTACTCATATTCAAAGTGATCCGCAAAAAGGTGTTCACTTTGTGATCTACCAAGTGATTTGCAAAAGTGTTAAATTTGTGAAATACAACGTGATTTGCGAACGGGTATTCGCTTTGGTTCCCCAAGGCAGCAGACAGATAATATGGTGGCGAATACCGTTCAAAATGTTGCAGGTTTTTGCGGAGCCTATCGAATGATCGCAGTCGATAACTGCACACGTTCTTTTGATGTCCGTATGCGACAAAAAAAAAACAACACTTAAACACGCTTAGTTGTTTTACTGCATTAGGCTACCATCTCAATTCCCATGGAGGCAAACAACCTAACGAGTCATAACGTGGCGTAAGAAAGCAGAACAGTGCATAATTCAGTCGCGTGTTATGCCAGCAATCAACGCTTGCGGATCTCGTGGCGTCGTTGTGAACATATTCTCCGCGACGCACGTCCGCCGCTACGACGGAATAGTATCCGGCGATTCTCACACAAACCGGCAGTGCCTCCGGCGGGCGCGAGACCGAACAGCCATGGGGAGCGAGGGACGATATGATGGGCATCTGGCCCACCCAGCCGTCCTTAGCTGGTTGTCATCTAACGGGCTCAGCCAGCGCGGAGGAAGCTGACGTCACACCGCTCAGAATGATCCGTCCACGCAGACATTTCCGACTGAATGTAGCGGCTTTCCTGTGATCAAGTCAAGGAAGCGCAAAGGCGCTCACAGTGCATATGAAACTGATGTGGTTCAAGACAGTAAGGAGCGAAAGACCACTGCTCGCTAACAAGACAGTGAGGAGCGAAAGATAACTGCTCGCTGCTACGACAGTAAGGGGCGAAAAATCACTGCTCCCTGCTAGGACAGTGAGAAGCGAAAGACAACTGCTCGCTGCTAGGACAGTGAGGAGCGAAAGACAGCTGCTCGCAGCCATCTATCAAGAACAGGAGCCAACCCACAGCATGAAACATTTAACAACAAAGACGGCCGCAATACATACATTCAGGCCAACGCGGGGCAGGTAGGGTGAGGGGCTTTAAGTCTGGATTTCCACGCTGTGAATGGAAGTGCGGGGGGGGGAGAGGGATGAGAAGGCATCAGGCACCGGTCTGATGTGAGTGCGGGGGGGGGGAGAGGGATGAGAAGGCATCAGGCACCGGTCTGATGTGACAGTGACCTAGTATGCCATAGCTGGTAGACAACAAAATGAGACAGTGCATTTCATGCAGCGGAAAAGCATCTCATCTTCTTCCAAAAACAGTGAAACGGACAGTCGTCCAAGGCTGGGGTGGCAGAACAGACGACGCATGGTCGTTTTTCGGATTCGGTAAGGGGAACAAAAAGCCACCAAATGTAATATAGCGGACGGTGATGCTGCTCCTAGACGCAGGACGCTGGAGATCTCTCCTCCCGCGCCGGCGGACCGCTCTTGGTGGCAGCAGTACCGAGTACTACTGCACCCAATACGGGGCCGTCACTACTGGATGCAGTAGAGCAGCCGTCCTTTGGTGGACCGTCACTACTAGATGCAGTAGAGAGGCCGTCCTATGGTAGGCCGTCACTACTGGATGCAGTGGAGCAGCCGTCCTACGGTAAGCCGTCACTACTGGGTGCGGTAGGGCAGCTGTCCTATAGTGGACCGCCACTACTTTGGTGGACCGTCACTACTAGATGCAGTAGAGAGACCGTCCTATGGTAGGCCGTCACTACTGGATGCAGTAGAGCAGCCGTCCTACGGTAAGCCGTCACTACTGGGTGCAGTAGGGCAGCTGTCCTATAGTGGACCGCCACTACTGGATGCAGTAGAACAGTTGACTCCTACCGGAAGCAGTCGCAGATCCGTACCCTATTACCCAGCACCGCATCCCGAGAAGATGACCCGCCAGAGGCCAGCAGCGCCGTGGACACACCGGGCGGTGCAGCCGCTGGGGCTGGACCCGGATCTGTCTGCACATGCACCCCTTCCCCCAGTATAGCAGGGGACCTGCTGACCGCAGGCGCCCCCATTCTTCCGGATGCAGTAGAAGCCGCCGTCGATCTCGGGCGCCCGCTGCTCCCAGGTGCAGTAAGAGCCCGTCGCATGCGCGCGCCCGCTGCTCTCGGATGCGGTAGAGGAGCCTGCTGTGCGCCGGCACCCGTCGCTCCCGCGACGCCGCAGCAACGCCGGCCGAGCGCGACGACCGCTACTCGCCGATGTAGTAGTACAGCTCCTCAACCCCGCGGGCCCACAGTGTGCCGTTGCCGACAATGCGCCCGTTGGCTCCGGCGACATCGCGGTTGGCCGTGAGCAGCACGTCGCCGGCGGGCGGCAGCCAGGGCAGCACCGGCGTCCAGGTGGGCGCGATACCCCAGCTGTCCGTCAGCCGGAACCCGGTCGTGCTCGGCTCGGAGCTCAGCAGGCTCGTACCGCGCTCGACTTCAAACGTGAAGCCCTGGTACCACCTGTTGGTGTACACGATGACGTAGAAGGCGGGGCCGCTGCCGGCGGCGGCCAGCCGGTCGGCGCGGCCCAGCATCGAGTGGTCATAGCCGTCGGCGGCGAGCGGGTCCAGCTTCATCTCCAGCAGCGTGTCGCGCGTGAGCCCCGACCACCGCGTGGTCCGCAGCAGGCGCGTGAAGCCGACACTTCCCATCAACCTGCAGGCGAGCGGCAGCGGCGCGCCGTCCAGCCAGCCGAACATGCGCCGCACATAGACGCCGAAGCGGGAGCCGGCGCCGAACTGCCCCATGATGACCCGACAGGTGACGGCCGGCAGGTCGGTGCAGACGCGGCCGCGGCACGCGTCGCCCGGCGTCACGCAGTCGGTGTCGGCGCGACAGAACTGGCCGCGCTTCGAGCGGCCTGGCATCACCAGGTAGCGCCACTCGCTGTCCGGCCACAGCGTGCCGTAACCGGCCACGGCCGAGTACAGCTGGCAGCTGCGGTTGGCTGAGGAGAAGGCCAGGCTGCTGCAGGCCGGCAGGGTGTGGCAGAGAGCGCAGCACGCGCACGAGCCGCCCTGCTTTATGGTGACGGTCTGCAGCGGGTCAGTGCCGGACAGCTGGCCGTCCGGCCAGGCCGTCTCCATGCAGCCCTCGCCGCGGCAGAGGAGGGCGGCGCAGAGCCAGAGCCGCACCGGCGGCAGGGCGCCGAGCCAGAGCCGGCCAGGGCCGCGACTGGCGCGTCGCATGACGGCGGCAGACCGGGCCAGGAGGACCGCAGCTCCACGCGCAGCCTCGCGAGCGATCGGACACGGTCCGGCGGACTCTCCGCGCCCGTCGGCTTCTGTCTGTTGACGGCCGTTTCACCGTTTCCTATCCCGTCGACGCCACTGGCCAGACGACGCCCCTGCCAGGCCAATGGCACACAGGCTAAACCCTCAGTCCGGGCCTCGCTTCACCGCCTCGGGACAGCAAGACGGTCTTCACCGGCTATGGGCAGCTTGACAGTCTTTCGCGGCGGCTCCGGGGCCGGGAAGACCGACGCAAACGACGCAAACCACAGCCGATCCGAGCGGACCAGACCAGACCAACACGGACCGGAGCAGACCCGTCGGTCACCGTCAGAAGGACCGGCTGGACTGGGTCCGAGCCGCCGACTGACCGGCCGGCCCGAACACCGCGGGTCCGCTGCCGCTGCCGAGCCACCTCCAATCAATGGCGCGCTTGGCGGCGCACCGGCTTCACCGAGGGCACAGAAAAGCCGGGGGGAGGGGGCGAGGGGGGAGGGGGGCACGCCGGCACGCAACGGAACCACTTTTGCTCTTCCACAACCAGCCATGTCATTGATCAGACTGGCAGACCCGAGGAAGTGAATGTTGTCACTTGGAATATGGTGATGTCACCAAGGGGCCACTGAAATCCAGTTACTTTTGTTGAATGGTTGCTAGAGGGTGTGCTCCACTTCCCATCATGCATCTACTAGGGTCATCACAAATGAATCATCAGCTAAAATGATCATGACATTGATCTTAATATGGTAGAGTACATCACAATCTTGCCAATTTATGCAAAACTGGTCTGTGCATTCATTTAAATCACAAAATCTCTCCACAAATTTTCTAAGATGTTTCAATTTTTACCATGAAGTATTTCTCAGTTGTTCCAGCTTTGATGACACAATTTTCCTGCATGCTGTTGATAGGCTTCGATCCTCAAGGTAGAGCATTCTTGAAATGACACTGTTATTTGCATTAAGGAAAGCTAACCACTTGATGATACCAAAGAATAATCCAATTATGATCACCTTTCAAACATTTCTTGTCTAATGGGATGCCTGAAAATTGAATGTGTAAAATAAGGAAGCATATAATATATAACATGATATATAATTATATGCTTTCTTATCAACATAATTAGCGAGCAGAGTGTATGTGACTTCTTCCTGCCACCAAACATGAAATCCTGTGTTGCTCACAAAAATAATCACAACAGTGCCCTGATGTAGACCAAAGATCACATGGCTAAGCATTCAGGTATTTTCAACAGTGCACTAAGTAGATGTCAATTTGAATGTCAATGATTTTCACCACCTTTTACATTAATCATACTATGACCATTTCAGTAGGCTCATAACCACTTTTGGTTTCTAAAAAACAGCCTACCTATTTCTGCATAAATGCAAGTTTGAGCTATTATACAATACAGGAGCATATATGTAGTTTCCTGACACACATCTGGCACAGACTTCCTTTAGGTTGCATGCCCTTAAATCTGTTTGTCAAGCTTACCTGACAGAAAGGAACCATAGATGGGTGATCATCCAGGACCTCATTATGTGTTTGTGCATCCTTTGTCAGAATTAGCACATAATCTGTCAATAAAGAGAGAACAACAATTAACATGCAATATGCATTGTACTTGCATTCAAACACATCCACACACACATGGCTAATCAAGTCAGGTGCATAAAAAGGCTATATAACCAGTCTTTAAGCACCTAACATATCAATTTTTGATGAACCCATGGCCAAGATACTGACATTTTGACCAAGCTGCCCACAAAATACATAAAGCATTTAGTAGAAAATATTGTAGCTTAGTCATGACTATTGGAATTCAATGAGTCAAAACATGTTATCATAAAAGACACACCATGCACAGAGCTGGCCAGAAATTTGGCTTCCATCTTCATCACTGCTACCAGGATTAGATACTGGACAAGGTATCACACCACATACATGTGTTCTGGAATCTGGCAATAATTCTGCTTGGCTTGACCAAATGCCTGAATAAAATGTCTTTTTAGTACAATACCCAACCTTCTCTCTGTTGCCAACATTATTGACATTAGCCAAAAGTTAACATAACACTAACTGAAAACAATCACATCATGTGATTAACGAATCCCAACATGCATGTCTGTTGTTGCAGCAAATGTCAGGTTGGCCCACTGTACAAATGCTGGCAAATAGAAGTGACCAGAGGCTCATTAAAATTACATTCAGGACAACATTCACCAGACACACATGACAAGAAAGCATCAGTGATGTCAGGAATAAATGTCAATGCAAGTATCCTGAACTGCTCACTTTTTAGTTCCTTCAACAGTGGATGTGAAACTGACATGCTTCCAGTTGTTCCAGAAGTAGCCTATAAAAAAGAGCATGTCAATGTTTCTTGCATCAAACACTGCACCATTTGAAATAAAGTAGTTCAACCATCATATTGAATCCAAATGCCAAATGCAAATAACCCCAGCAGGTCTATATATACATTCCAGGATACTCAAGATGTGCATGTGGACCTGGATTCATCCATGTTACAGATGGAGGGGACAGCTCTCAGATAGGTACAGCAAAAGTTCAGCAGGGGAGGGAGCTGGCAGGGGAAGTTTCAGGCAGCATCATGCTGTATTCTGAGATGGTTGTGAACCAAGCTAAAACCTCAAGCTCAATGCCCTTAACAAGCCCTAGAGCTAAATTCCACTATCTGTGTCTCCTGACAAGTAAAACACCTGTTCTTTGCGTCACATATCTAGCCCGTGATGGGCTGAACAAGTGCTATTTTTCTGAGGCACTACCTCAACACGGTAAACAGCGCGGAACCAGGGCAAGGCCGAAGCGATATGTGCCAGGTGATATCGTCTCGACTACGCACTTCTCAGCAAGAATCCTTATGTGACGTCACCAGGGGTACATCGTTCAAGCTGGGAGGACCGCACGCGCGGTAACGGACATGGAGATCGCATGTGCTACAACACGTTTGGTGAGTGAAATGATTCGTAAGATCAATGTAAATTTAATCTAACTAATCATCTTCACAGTTATGCCTGATTTGGAGAGTAACTGAAGAACCAAGGCTGTAATACAGGACACTGAAAGAAAGCTAATGGAGGACGATTCATCGCGTTTTACGCCAAGGAAGCGCTTCGCGTATGTGTGTATTTATGATTTCGAAAGCATCAGATGTGGTCATACTGCAACCCCTGGTTAACAAGTTTTTGTGCATTACAACTGCAGCCCTCCAGGAACTTACCCCAAGCGGATCCACGGAATTTCTGAGCACCAGCTGGGACTTATATTAGGCCTTGGTCTGGCAGATCACCCGACTGGACAAAATGGTCATATCGATGTAGCCCAGGATGGTGCACCAAAATGAGTGGGGGCATATATCTCACCTTCCTGGCCGGCCTTTGAAGAGCGGTCGGGTATAGCAGCGCAAGAAGCTAAGATGTCCGAAGCTTCTCGGCCGGGGCTCCCCACCCGGACTTGGCCAGGTGCATTCGCGTGGCTCCATCAAATGGGCAGTCAAGTCAATGCACATTGGGGCCTAGTCATTCACCAGAGCTGGGCCCTGACGATTTCTAGTTTCATGATGTGAAAGGTGCCACTGGTTTGCTCCACCTCTGCCCAGCAAATGCCGGATAAAACTTACTCAAGCCTATAACCGAATGCAGTCTAAGAGTGCTCCACAGTCCACGTTCATAAGCTTTTGGTTATTCATATTGCATGCATTGGATCAATGACAACGATATTCCTTGCTTAACAAAAGGTTTTAGTCAGACAGCTGTCGGCCGTGCAATGTCATTCCGTTAACGCAGAAGCAGGACCAGATGCGCTTCAGCGGGCCCACAGTCTCCACCGCCAGCTTCAGCACCCGGAGTGCTGCATGAATGGGCGCAGTGTACTAAAGGTCTTTGGAGAGAAGTGCGACAGCATTGGCCACATCCAATCCCCCCCCCCCCCCGCCCCCCATCGACCGTTGGCCAGTTGATGCTGGCTGAGTTGCTAAGTGGAGCGACTGAGTAGCTGCTGGCTGAAGATGCCCTCGGTCTGGACGTGCTGCAGGTCCTGAGTATTCCGCAGGAGTTTGCACACTTGGCGCAATAGGTGGACGATCCCCGACTCCAGTTCAGATGGTTAGTCGGGTGTTGGGAATGTGACTTCGTCCATAGAAAGTCAGACGGGTATGCTAGCGTCCCGGTGATCAGGCCTGAGGACGACAAAAGCTCCAGCAGCGAAAACCGCACAGTGCGGAAAGTCTGGCATTGAGGACCCGAACAGTGCGTGGTCTTTTCCACTCACCACATTTGTAAAATGCCCACCACATGCGCCAGAGGCCTAGCCAATCCCACTCGCTTCCAATGTGAACTCATCTAGCACACTTTCTACTTTAGAACTGGGCTGGCATACATCGAGGCTAAATGCACAAAGGCTAGTATGTGAAATTGTAAATTAAGCCATTATAGCACCCCCCCCCCCACACCCCAATTCGTGGCGTGTCAAAATGAAGTTTGCCAAGTGCTTACATGTGATTCTGAGGGAAACTTTGGGAACATCTAGACCAACTGAGCTGATACAAAATGAGGCTAAGTGGAATCTGAAGACATGTGTTGTTGCCCCGACTAACGCAAAAGGCCAACGGGCATTCGCGGTCCCATCACTGTCCCTGTCCAGCAAATATTGCTCTGGCCGATTCTGGTTCCCTTGTCGACACAGAACCCCCTGTTTGGCATTGTGGACCCCTGACAGACGCCCTCATTTTTTCAGGGGCCCCGATCAATGCAAATCGCGGGTTTGGCTTTGCTCGCACTTGAAAAATGGACCACCAGGGTTAAGGACGATATGGAGCCAACTGTTCGGTGTTGGTGGTGTCTGGTTGAAAAGGAGGCCCGCACTGTCCCACTGCTTCCCGACCGAGGCCGTAATAGCGTATGTATTCCGGTAGATATAAAAACGTCATTACCCGCAAAAATGCGCTGCGAAGCGACTAAAATAGAAACGTTTTCTTAGTGTGCTCGTAGGCAAGTGTTGTGAGCACGCCCAGCCGGCCGGCGGCACAGCATGCCGTCCCTGCCGTGTCGCGGCGCGGCATAGACCTCGCGGTGGAATGCGACTACCGCCGCGGGCGCTGACCACCGTCCCGTAGCGGACCGCATGGGACGCGTGATAGGTGCGCGTATGAGAGCTTACTTATGAGTGGTAGTTCACACGAACTAAATGTTATGTCGTGCCTGCCTGGGGTAGCAAGGGCAGGACGCCACTGGACTCGGTCCAATACAGATCGCCGCGTCGCTACACGTCTCTCTCTGACCGAGCTGAGCCAAACCGCTGGACGAAAACGTCACGACAAGTACTGCTGTAAAAACAACAATGACAAGCATTATGAATACTTAACAACACAGAAGTGGCACGCGTAAAGAAGAAGGTGGTGTAGAAATGTAGGCAAAACGGGATAAGACAAGAGTTATTCAGCCAGAAGCAAACTAGAAACAAGTTTACAGGCATTTGTAACCATATTTGAGATTTTAACGTACTGTGGAACAATTATGGACTTATTTGGGCATGGCTGTAGTCACGACCCTAACACTGAGGGACTCAAAACCCGGTTCTTTTAACACGCTCTCGGTTGGGGGGGGGGGGGGGGTCAAATTGACCCCCACTGAAGGCTTTTCCAAAATGGTTTTCGAAAGGCGCGGCGTAGCCACGCCACATTTTGCATAGCTGTAGAAAATTAGATAGCGGATCGTTTGGCACCAAAAATTAAAGATACCTTGTGAGGTCGCTGACCTATGGCAGGTCAAAGTCAGGCCATGGTTTCAGCGAAGGCGATTTCTATGGAATCCTGCAATCTGATTCAACAACTGAGTGTTAGAGAAAGCCATACATCTCTGAGAAGCTTTCTTAGGTAACACAACAGTGAAATGAGTAAATTACATTGACCTAAGGTTAGGTATAAAGGTCACACTAATGCCAAACCCAACCTGTTTTGTTACCCTAGGGCTTGCTGTATGGGATAGTTTCTGGTGCTCATTTCGACTTTATTGATGGCAGGTACTGCATTATACATCTTCCATGGACTTTTTAGAGATCAGAATAGGTCATTGACCTAAAATGACCCAGCTCAACCTTTTGTTTTAGGAGCATACTGCCTAGCGTAGTCTTTGTCACTTAGCCAAATGCAAAACTCAAAGCAATCTTGTATTATTTTGGTCACCTTGACCTTCAAATGTTCAGTCAAGGTCACTGACCTTGAATGAGCATGTGACCTTTTGCTTAGAAACGGTTATCTAGGTTCTGGGGGCATTTTGGAGGCCAACCTGTAACTTGACCCTGTTTGACCTTATTTGACACGAAGGTCATAATCTACGAACTTTAAACTTTGATCTGAGTTCACGTACAGGTCAAAACACCCTGTAAATTTGGTGTCTCTAGCTTCCTTGGTTTCCGAGATCTCAGGGGGGGGAGGGTCAAATTGACTCCCCACACCCGAGCAAAGGGTATCTAGCCGGTCACCCGGGCGCGTGTTAAAACAAGCGTTGATTTCCCTCGTTCCGGCAATGTTAAAGCAGTTTAAATCTTTCGTCTCAATCTGATTTTGACCGAAGCGGAACTAACCAAACCTTTAAGTGGCTATCCCCTCACCGTCGATAAATGAATGATGATCTCGGGATTGAGCGATTTTTTAAAGTTTGCTCGGTTATGAAATATTATGAAATGATATGAGGGGTTATTAAATGATAGCAATTTTGGCTGGATTATTCACCATCTATCCCATGGCGAAACGGCGCGGCGCCCGACCGCTGGTGGCCGATGAGCGCGGGCGTCCCTGACGTGCTACCCAGGCGTTCATTACGCCATAATAACGTCAGTCAAATCTTGTCATTCCATTAGCCGTGCGGCGATCAAAACCGAGAAAAAATATATTTGCCGAGTCGTTCATGTCTGGCGTAGTGAGCACGACTTCCAGATGAAACGACGGACGTCAATTGGCTCTCAATCTATGTTATGCGAGGTACGATGACGTAATCAAACAATGACGTATGAGGACCATACTTACTCAACATAAAAATAACTAACATTTTCACCGGCGGTGGTGCGGCGCTCGCGTGCCGTTCGGTCAACATGGCGCGGGAGCTTGGAACGGCAGACGGACGCCGTATTTGTGTATGGCACCGGCTTCGGCTGTAAACGGCACCAAGGTTCGGCTGGTTCGGAGAACTCTCGCTAGATGACAGGCGGCGACCGCACTGGCTCGGGGGCCGAGGCCGGCCGCCGAGCGATGGGACGGGCCAAGGAGGGCAGGACTCTGCGGCCTTTATGGGGGGGGGGGGGGCTTTCATGTGTTTGTTAATGGCTGTACGCATAAATCTGACCTGTTCAAAATGTGCGGCTGATCGATCATGTGTGAAGGTGTCGTATTTGAGCAATATGCTTTTATCGAAACAATAGCAGAAGCAGAACAACAGCAAACAAGCTTCTGCTATTGTTCCGATAAAGACATGTTGCCGAAATCTTAACCCATCTATATCTCCATTTTTCTGCTTTTTCTTCGAAGAATAAAGCTTTTACTACTGCCTTATCTATGCAGATAGATAACTGTTCTGCCTAGAGAACTCTTTTCCATTAAAAAATACACCAATTGCAAACAATTTACAAAGTGAAATTGTTTCATCATATCTGATCCTTGATTCAAAATCCTCAAATGTGAAATATTTCCTTTAAACTGTGTGCTGGATGGAACTGCAAATTGCACAGTGGGCTCAGGGCCCTAGACCTTTAGGCGGAGACCAGCTTTCGGCGAAATCTGGGAGTTGACAGTGTGCCATTCGTCATGCTGGTTGGGGATGTACCCTGGAACACACGTATTGCAGTGTTATCTATGCAAATTTATCTTATGCGACCAATACTTACGAGCTGTTGCGCACATACATCGGTGAAACGAGCCTGATCCTTTCCGAGCGCTGCTTATGAACACCCGTGGACGCACTTAATGCATACGTATTTTGTCTGCGATTTTTTCTCCCAAAGTCGCACCACCCGCCGCCGGCGATGTCACGTCACATTCGCGACCTGCGCTCGCCACTCGCCAGCCGCTGGCCGCGATAGGTTTGCTTATGCATGATGGGGCCTTGCAGTACTGCGCCACCCGACACTGGCCGCACGGTTTGTTTTTCAACGTCTCTGCTGCGCCTGCGACTCGTCCTCGGGCTTGACAAGCGTGCACAGGACCTCGGCGGCGCCAGGCGGCTGGACGGCCACGGCGGTCTGGGCCAGCCGTCGGACCGGCCGCCGCTGGCCGTTCGCCAGCATTGATCAGGGGCGCGGCAACGATGTCTCAGGGAGCGGGAGAGGGGAAGCGAAAAACTGTCTGGGAAGCCCGTCTCTCCCATATTTTCCGAATTTTGGCGACACTATGTTCAGATATGGTGGTGTTTAGATGCCTTGTGTTATTCAAACACGTATTATCGGTGTCAGTGCGTGCGCTTGATGTCAGATGCAATCACTAAAAACGCTGGGCCTATTGCTCCCCAAAGGTAATGTTCTTCCATTAATTGTATACAGTTATTTTTATATCCATATTACGATTACATTTAGTTATCTATTTAACCTGATAAAGGAAATCAGACCTTATAAACGTTCTGTGACCTCACGGGTCCCGGCATCGTCACGGATGAATTGTTCCAGCTGCCTTTCTCGTCTGGTGCGCCAGAATGTACGTACACAATATTTAAGCCAGTTAACTCCCAGTCATCGTCAGACGTT